TGAAAGCTAGGAAATTGCACTTCCAGGATGACAGTGTAAAGAACTCATTGGATGCATGTTACAGCAAAACAAAGATGGTAAGAACTATAAAAACAAATGAGCATAGGGGAAGGGAAATAAAAATAAGATAAAAACAGAGAGAGAGGCAAACCATAAAGACTCTTAAATACAGAGAACTGAGGGTTGCTGTAGGGGAGGTGGGTAGGGGGATGGGTTAAATGGGTGATGGGCATTAAGGAGGGCACTTTTTGGGATGTGCACTGAGAGTCATATGTAAGAGATGAATCTCTGGGTTCTATTCCTGAAGCCAAGACTATACTGTATGTTAACCAACCTGAATTTAAATTAAAACAAAGAAACAACCCAAAAAGCCCCAAGAAACAAAAATGACAACAACAACAAAACAAACAAACAATGATTTAGTCTCTGGAGATTATCCTAAGGGCAAACTGCAAACGAAGAAGCATTTATTCAAGAAAATCTTGGGGCGCCTGGGTGGCTCAGTCGGTTAAGGGTCCGATTTCCACTCAGGTCATGATCTCATGATTCATGGTTTCGAGCCCCGTGTCGGGCTCTGTGCTGACAGCTAGTTCAGAGCCTAGAGCCTGCTTCAGATTCTGTGTCTACCTCTCTCTCTCTCAGAAATAAAACATAAAAAGAAAAATCTACTAAAATTTGGTATGAACAGTGAAAATGTAGGGCATTTGAGCCATGACCCGCTCCATCTCCATCCACAGCTCAGCCTGACAGATGCTGTACTCTGGGTAGGTGGGGACAGGAAGAAGCCTTTCTCCTTGGCTCCCAGTGAAAGCTTACCACATCTCATTAGGAGGGTAGGCCACCAGTATTTATCATACCTCCCAACTCCAAGGTAAAGAGGCAAAAGTCCTGGTGAGTGTGGCTGAGAGGGCAGGGGAGTCACCCTGCTGGAGTCACAACAAACCTCTAATAATGATTTAAAAATATCCAAAATAGCCCACATTTAACTAGATCAGACTGCTGAGTTATTGGTACCCTAGGGTATTCTCAAAAACAGTAGAGGAATCTTTGTTGCTTTCCTCACTTAGGAAATTTCAAGGGATTCAGGAGCTCTGTGCCAGAAATGGGGATGAGAACTAAATATGTATTTAATATAAATCAATATCAGATAGAAATATTTTATATGTGACAAAGACAGCACAGAGGAGGTGAGTGAATGCAGAGTGTTGTTGGGAGTCAGGAAATGACAGCAGGTGGCTAGTTGAATGTACAGGAACAAATGAAGACAAATGATAAATAAGAAAGCAAATACAACAAACTCTATATTCATGCTTGTTCTCACTTCTTTTCTCAATTTTCATAATAGACATAAAGCTACAATAAAGTAAGAATTACAAAAATGTATTGTTGCACTTGTAACATACAGAGGTGTAACTGTATAACATTAGCACAAAGAGAGGAAGAGAAAATAAAGCCATGTAGAAGTGACAATTCTACACGCCCCTGGAATTGTTAGTATAAACCAGGAGATTCTGATAAGATGTACATGGTAAGTTCTGGGGCACCCACAAAGAAACTAAAGGTACTAGGTATGGCCACATAGCTGAACTCACCATTAGAATGTGAGAGGCAGCGATTTGCGTTTCTTCAAAGGCCAGGATTTGCCTCCTCTGCTCTTTCCCTGTCTCACAAGTCTGAGGACAGATGCATCTATGATCCAGAGCACAGAGATGGAGTGGGAGATGAGCATTTAGACATGCTGCTCCAGAGGACGGCAGATAAAATGGATAAACTGGCTTCTGAACAAGCATGTCCAACAGGGAAAGCACCAAACAGGGACTCTGCTACATGAGGAAAAGAAACTTCTATGTGTTTAAGCCAATGCATATGTGGTCTATGAAATACTGGCACCTAGTGCCAAGAATGAGCATTTCTACATAGGAAGATTTGGGATGATTTTTATTCTCATTGCTGTACTTCTCTACAGACTATTTTGGTAAAATGATACATGTTCACTGTATAAATATTTTTTTTCTTTTTAGGCAGAGAGAATCCCAGGGAAGCCCCATGCTCAGCTGCACAGCCAATGAGGGGCTTGATCCCACCACTCTGGAATCATGACCTGAGCCAAAATCAAGAGTCAGACATTCAACCAACTGAGTCATTCAGGTTCCCCTAAAAGTACTAAATTGTCTTATTTTATTTTTTTAAAGTTTATTTATTTCGAGAGAGAGAAGGAGACAGAGAGAGAAAGAGAACAGGGAAAGGCAGAGAGAGAGGGAGAGAATTCCAAGCAGGCTCTGCACTATCAGTATAAGCATAATGTGGGGCTCAAACTCATGAACCATGAGACATGACCTGAGCTGAAGTTGGAAGGTTAACAGAGCCACCCAGGCTTCCCCAACATAAATTATTTTTACCTTTTTTAATGTTTTATTTATTTCTGTGAGAGAGAAAGAGGCAGCGTGAGCAGGGGAGGGGCAGAGAGAGAGGGAGACAGAGAACCTGAAGCAGGTTCCAGGCTCTGAGCTGTCAGCACAGAACCTGATGCAGGGCTTAAACCCATGAACCGTGAGATCATGACCCGACCCGAAGTCAGATGCTTAACCGACTGAGCCACCCAGGTGTCCCAAGTTTGTTTATTTTTGAGTGCACTTGAGAGGGGGAGGAGCAGGGAAAGGGAGAGAGATAATCTCAAGCAGGCTCCACACTGTCAGCATGGAGCCCGATGCAGGGCTGGAACTCACGATCCATGAGACCATGACCTGAGCCAAAATCAAGAATCAGACAATTAGCCAATTGAGCTACCCAGGCACCTCTGATTTCAAGACTTTTCATAAAGCCTCAGTAATCAAAACAGTGTGATACTGGAGTAGAGACTGACAATAGACAAATAGAAGAGAGCAAAGAGTCCAGAAATAAACCCACATGTATATGGACAACTGATTTGTGACAAAACCACAAAGGCAAAACAAGTGGAGGAAAAAAAAAATTTTTTTTTCCAACAAATGGTGCTGGAACAACTGGATATCTACTTGTAACAAATTAAACCTTGGTGGGGCACTGGGGTGGCTCAGTGGGGTAAGCATTCAACTTTGGCTCAGGTCATGATCTCGTGGTTTCGTGAGTTTGAGCCCCATGTGGGGCTCTGTGCTCACAGCTCAGAACCTGGAGCCTGCTTTGGATGCTGTGTCTCCCTCTCTTTCTCTCTGCCCTTCTCCTTACACTCTGACTGTCTCTCTCAAAAATATACATTCAAAAAAATTTTTTTTAAAAAATTAAAAAAAATAAAAATTAAAAAGCAAAAAAACTTAATAAGAAAGCAAAAACCCAATTAAAAAGTAGGCAAAGACATGAACAGACACTTTACCACTGAAAATACACAGAAGGGAAACAAGTATATGAAAAGATAGCTAACATCTTTAACTACTAGAGACATTAAAATTAAAACCACAGTGAGACACCACTACACATCTATCAGAGTAGCTAAAATGAAAAAGACTGATGACACCAAGTATTGATGAGGATGCGGAGAAAATGGAACTCTCATCCCGCGCTGGGTGGGGATATCAAATGTTGCAACCAGTTTGGAAAGGAGTCTGGCAGTTTCCTAAAAAGTTAAATATACATCTACCATGTAATCCAGCCATTCTATTCCTAGGTATTTATCCAAGAGTAAAAGAAATGTATGGTCATACAGAGGTCTGCACACAAACGTGCATAGCAGCTTTATCTCTATTAACCCCACACGGGAAACAACTCAAATATCTGTTAACAGAATTGATAAACAAATTGCAGCATATCCATATAATACTAACAAAAAAAAAACTTATGGATACAAAAATTGAAGAATATCATAAGAACTATGTTGAGTCAAAAGATGACAGACAAAAAAAAGTACATGCTTTATGATCCCAATTATATAAAGCTCTAGAAAATGTAATTTATATTGACAGATAGCAGATCAGTAATCACTTCGTAATAGAGATGGGGAGTGAGAAGGAGGGATTACAAATACAAAGAGACAGCAGAAAACTTTTAGGGGTAATGGATATGCTTGCTATCTTGACTGTGGTGAATAGTTTCACATGTATATACATAATGCAGAAATGTCAGCATACTGCACATCTTAAATTTGTATAGCATATTAATGCTTAATATATCTTGATAAAGCTGTTTCTAAAAGCGGGGAAAAAATGCGTGGGGTGTGGAGCCAGTATGTCAGAAATCCAACTCAGCTTTGTTCCTGGTCAGCTGTGTGATCTCAGGTCAGCAACTGAATCTCTCTGTGCCTCAGTTTCTTGACCACCAACTGTGAGGACCTTGAAAAACTGCGTAAGTTCATGTACTGGGCACAGATGTCCAGGCATTGTTAGCTGCTGTGGTAGCACAGAGGATTCAGCTCCACTTACTGTTTACTATTTATATGTCCATTCCCTTTGCTACAGATGAAGAAACCCTAATTCATGTTTTTCCCCAAGGCCCTGAATCAGCCTGGGAACTCTAAGTGAGCAATAGCACTGGACAATAGACTCTGGGCAGGAAGACATCTCTGGGTGGTCTTTCCAATCAGCCAAGGCAAAGCTGGCCAGCAAGGCCTGAGAAGGAATGGGTGACATGGAAGCAACTGGAAGGCAGCCAAGGCAGGGAGTTAGATGCCCCAGAAAGATATCCGAGCTGTTTTCTGGGATTTTTCTGAGCATTTTCTAGGGTAAGGGAAACATGAGCTCATTTATGGGTACAGAATAGGAGCCATTGTCTACGGCCATACCACCCTGAACGCACCTGATCTTGTCTGATCTCGGAAGCTAAGCAGGGTCGGACCTGGTTAGTACTTGGAAGGGAGAATAGGAGCCATTAATACAGAGAAAACAGAAGAAAGGTAGAAATGGAGAAGATGGAAAGCAAAGCCTTGGCAGTGACAAGAGATGTGGCTCAAAGCTCACAGAGAAGGGCCAGGAGAAGTGGCAGAGCCTGCCGGCAGGGGCAGGAAAACCATGGGGACATTCCTGGAGACTCACTTTCACTCCTATGACTCTGGATCCAGCCCTCCTCAATTCTCAGTGAGTGTGGGGCCCATGGTTCTTCCCCTTTCTCCAGCCTGGAGATGACATCAGGTTTGGAACCTTGAAGTCCTGTTCCAGAGAAAGGAAGCAAGACTGACAATTCATCCAAGTCCAGGGCAGGATGGCCCCATGGGCAGCACGTGTGTGCTGGTCATGACCTCCCCTGCCACCTGGTCTGCAAATCAAGGAGACAGATACAGGCCCCAGCTGAAGAAAAGTTAAACCCAGCTCTTCTGGGGGTCATGGATAAGGGACAGAGTTGGGGCCTGAACACATCACACTAGAAGATTCATAGTAGTGTCTTGGTGTCTACCAAGGACTAAAAGGGAAGCAGCCATTCTGGTGTGAGGTAGGGCTCTGGAAGCAAATGGATTCAAATCCTAGATCTGCCTCTGATTGCCTGTATGATCTTAAGAAAGTGATTATAGGGGCACCTGGGTGGCTCAGTCGGTTGTGTCCGACCGGCTCAGGTCATGATCTCTGATCTCGTGGTTCGTGGGTTCGAGCCCCGCATTGGGTTCTGTGCTGACAGCTCAGAGCCTGGAACCTGTTTCAGATTCTGTGTCTCCCTTTCCCTCTGCACCTCCCTTGCTCGCACTCTGTCTCTTTCTGTATCAAAAATAAATAAACCTTAAAAAAAAAAAAAGAAAGAAAAAAAGTGACAATATTTGTCAGCCTCAAATTCAACTATAAACCATTTAACCCAACACCAGCTTTGAAGATGCATTATGATTAGCTCTGGGGAAATGAATATACTTAGTGTTAGATGAAGGATATTTTTCTTCTATACTTCCTACAAGAAAATTGGGGGAGTCCATGGCACTGCCTGTCCTCTCCTCTGTACAGACCAGCCCTGCCTGGGACCAGGGTCATAAATGTCTTCTGTTTGGGCCCAGGGGGTGAGGAGCCTCTGAGCCCTGAGCCTAGCCCCAGAGAAAGGAACCGAGAGCTGAACTTCAGACAGAAGCCTTACCCAGCATGACCAGATTTCTATAGGTTTCCAGCATCACGTCCCTGTAAAGGCATCTCTGAGCAGGGCCCAGACATCCCCACTCCTCCCGGGAGATGAGCACAGCCACGTCCTCAAAGGAAATCGAGACCTGGAATGACAAGATCTTGTTGCAACCCCAGGATCAGGCCCAGGGTGGGTCTGGGGGTTGTGGAGGAGCCATTAGGCTCAGGATGGGCAAAACCCCTCTGAATGCATGTACCAGACTTGTCCTCACAAGAGTGGCCTCTTTGAGGCAGGCACCATCTCCACTTGTCTTTGTCTGCCCAAACTCTTATCCTCCACTGTGCCTAATCGAGGGATTGTGAAGATATGATGTGGACCTGAACTCAGGGACTGAGGAACTGGTGAAGACAGGGAGCTAACTACCCTCTGGGACCAGCCCCTCACAGAGATAACCATGGATAAACTCCAGCCAAGAAAGGGCTAAGGTCAGACAGAGGTGTCTCCATGCATACCACTCACCTGAGGCCCATCAGGAAGGAGCTGCTTGATGACTATCATTAGATCTCTGAGCTTGTCCCAAGGAGGCAGGCAAAACTGCAGGGAAAGGGAAGACTGTGATGGAGTGTGACCAGCCTGCTTCTCACAGCAACATTGAGACTTCTGTGCCTGGATCTCAAGAGGTCTATGGCAGCAGTCACGGAGTGTGAGGCTACCGGAAAGCCCTGGGAAGGGCAGATGGACTAAGCACCCAGTAGTCTCTGAGACTATATCCCCTTGCCCACCATGAGGCCCCCCAGCAGCCCCTGGTACAACAGCATCCTAAGGCCACCACGTGATGGCCCCAGCAGTGCAGCTGGCAGGAGGAGACAAAGGGCTGTATTTCAGGCCCACTTAGGAGCTCTTGGAGAGTGGGCAAACACCTGAGGATAAGCAGACCAGGCTCTTTCTAAGGCAGTGCACAAACAAGTAGGGAGGCTGACAAAATTTTAAATGCCTATGACAGGTGATGATACAGGATAGAAAGAATGAGTAGCATGAGGGCAGCACTTGTGGTAGGAGATATTTTACACAGGATAGCCAGGGAAGGCACCTTTGATAAAGCAACATCAAAGCAGAGATGTAGATGTAGTGAGGGCAGGCAATATGCAGACATTAGGGGAGATATATCCCAGGAAGGGGAAAGCACAAGTGCAAAGGTTATGAGGTGCAAGCTCACTTGATGTGTTCAAGTAAGGGCAAGAAGGCCAGAGGGGCTGAAGGGGAGTAGGGGAGGGCACAAGAAAGAAGGGTGGGGTGCCTCATAGGCTATATAGGATTTGGGCTTTTATGAATGAGATGGGAAACATCTAGAAGGTCTGGGCAGTGATATGACCTGCCATGTGGCCTTTCTAGCTGCTGCTTTGAAAACAGACTGGGTGTGGGTGTGGGGACTATCAGGGCATAAACAGGAAAACAAGTTGGAAGTCTCAGGCTGTAATCCACTAGAGGTGACAGCGTCTTGGACCAGAGTGGTGGTAGCAGCCAATAAATGATCAGATTGTAGATGCATTTCAAAGGCATAGTCAATAGGATTTGCTGATGAATTAGATCTGAGATAAGACATCGAGAATTTTGGCTCAAACTATTGAGATGATAACACTTCCACTCACTCAAAACAAGAACACTGTAGAAGCACATCTGAAGGATAAAAATTAAAAGTTGGTTTTGTATAGGTTGTATTTAAGACACCTATTAGACTTACAAGTGGAGAATCAGAGCTTTCGCATATATGGGTCCAAAATTCAGGAGAAAGGCTGAAGCTGGCTAGGGATACACTGGGAACTGTCACTATATATATGGCGTTTAGAATCACTCATCTGGTTTTACTATAGCTTGACAGGTGACATGAGGGTTATCATTCCCAGGAAAACCTTCCCAGTTAGCCTCTGATACAAAGCTAGCTCCCAACTCCACAGTGCCCCACTCCATGCAAACGGACCCCTTACTTCAGGTAGAAATGTGTATCGCAAGTGGATCTGCACTCTGCCTTTGCTTCCAGACTGACTGAGAGGCATGGAACACTGCTGCTGGAAGCATGGACTCTGCAAGCTAAGAGGGCTGAACTCCAATTTCTTTTTTTAAATTTTTAAATGTTTTATTTATTTCTGAGAGAGAGGGAGAGAGACAGCGTGAGCAGGGGAGGGTCAGAGAGAGAGGGAGACACAGAATCTGAAGCAGGCTCCAGGCTCTGAGCTGTCAGCACAGAGCCTGATGCAGGGCTTGAACCCACGAACCGGTGAGATCATGACCTGAGCCGAAGTCGGACGCTTAACCGACTGAGCCACCCAGGCGCTCCTGAATTCCAAATCTGGATATACCACCTACTAATACTAATACAAAGGTCTCAGGTAAGTGAAGAGTTTCTACACATACCTTAAAATAAGAACACTACCACGTATCCTAAGTGGATATTTTGAGAATTAAATGAGGAAAATGTATAAAGTACTGTGTACAGTGCTGGCAAACCATAACCAAGAAAAAGATAACTAAACCTTAATTACTATCATTAAGGAAATGTTTATTGAGCGCCCACAAAATGAATAAACGAACGCTGTGATTGTTCTAGCTCCAGAAAGTGATCTCCTGCCTATCCCCCTTCGGACCCAGCAACCGAGGTCCCTTCCCTGACAGCTTAAGCAACTCTATCCTTTCACCTAATCTACTCCTGCTGCGTGAAAAGCACCCTTCTCCGTTCGAGAAAAGCACGATTAGATTCATCCCCTGACCACGCCCCAACTTCGCCTACTCGTTAAAGCCTTCATCCACGCAGCCACCCTGCCGCGGCGGCCTGAGGCGCCTGGACCCCCTGGAGCGGCGTTCCGCCGGCGAGGGGCGGGGGTCCCTCCGCCGCTCCCCTGCCGGCCTCTCCCCCTACACGCGGGCTCTCCACACTCCACTCCACCTCCGCCGCTCTCGGGGCCGGGGCCGCTCGGATACCTCCGCGCCGACCACCCTCGCCCTGACTCACTCAGCTCGGACACGGGTGGAGGTGCCCCTTGCAGACGCCAGGCCCCTGAGCGCCAGAGCTGCCGGACAGGAAGTGCCCCCCTTGAGCTTCCGCCGCGCCCTCCGTCTCGCCACCAATCGGGTTCCTGGTTCCGGAGGAGGCTCACTGAAGACTGTGCTCCTGGCCAGTTCCTGGGTCCTGGTCCTGACTTGGTTGCCAGAAGTGGACTGGCCTTGTAAGAAATGTTAAAAGTTCTTTAGAGAGTTGGGAACTGTTATGGGCAGAAACTTGTGAAGAAAAGAAAAGGATCAGGGAAGGAATAAGTGGCAGTGAAACAAAATATTTTTTCTTATTCTCAATTATTCTGAAAGATTATTGTTTTTCAAAGTAATAATAGCAACAATATATTATGTTATTATAGCACACGGATGAGTAAAATGAATGAGAGCAATTGAGGGAGGAATTGGGAAAACTTGGTTATAAGTAACTATGCTATCTATGAAGCAGTATAGTGTTACTTGAAAGCTGACTCAGTTCTAGATACATTTGCAACCATTAAAAAATATATATATATATAAATATATATATATATATTTTATTTGAGAGAGACAGTGAGGGGGGAAAGGGGCAGAGGGAGAAAGAGAGAATCTTGAGCAGGCACCATGCTCAGCGTGGAGCCTGAAGTGGGGCTCTATTCCATGATCCTGGAATCATGACCTGAGCCGAAATCGAGTCGATGCTCAACTCACAGAGCCACCCAGGCGCCCTGATTTTTTTTTTTTTTTTTTGTTAATCAGGCTATATGGAGACCTACCTAAAACCTGAGGACACAAAGTTTAAAACTAAGAAGATGGTGGGGTGCCTTGGTTGCTCAGTTGGTTAAGCGTTCAACTCTTGATCTCAGCTGGGTCCCTGATCTCAGGGTTGTGGGTTGGAGGCCCGTACTGGGCTCCATGCTGGGTGTGGAGCCTACTTAAAAAAAAAAAAAGAGGAGGAGGAGGAGGAGAAGGAGGAAGAGGAGGAAAAGTAAGCTGTACAACTAAGAGATGAAGTAATCTTTTAATTTTTTAATTTATTTTGAGAAAGAGAGATAGAGGGCACAGGGAAGGTGCAGAGAGACAGGGAGAGAGAGAGAGAATCCCAAGCAGGCTTTGCACTGTTGCCTGGAGACCAATTGGGGCTCAAACTCATGAACCAGGAGATCATGACCTGAGGTGAAACCAAGAGTTGAATGCTTAACTGACTGAGCCACCCAGGTGCCTGGAGATGAAGTAATCTCTAAGACTAGGGTCATTACTATAGATAACAGATGCCATTAAATAATTCTGAAAATTTTATTTACCCAGGAAGATACAAATATTTTAAAATCACAGAATAAGATAGTTTCAAAAATACTTCAAAATTAGAGAAGCATAAAGAGCAATACACATACCGTCATAGTGGAAGGGTGTTATATGCCTTTTCCAATAACTGATAGACCAGACAGACAAAAAGAGAGAGAGAGAGAAATTAAGGATTGAGGTTTTTTCCCCTCCTGACGCCAACCATTTGGTATTGTCTTCAATACTAGACCCCTATAACTCAACTAAATTTTAACACTTAACTACCAGAGGTAGAGCAGACCACACAGGTTAAGGACTCAGCCCACAAGACTGCCCACACTAAGACAGTCACAAATATCAAGTGCCAGGGATATTCACACTTCTGTGTGACTGAGCTATGAAGTCAGGAGTTCCCACAACACCTGCCTCCAAGCTCAACAATTTGCTAGGACTTACAGAACCCAGGAACATGCTGACTCATGATTACAATGTATTACAAAAGATACAAATCAACAGTCAGATGAGGAGGTACGGAAGGTAAGTTTGATAGGATCTAAATGCCGAAGTCTCTGTCTCTGTGGAGTTGGTGTGTACCACTTCCCAGCACATGGATGTAGTCATTAACTTGGAACCTCCCCAAATCCCCTCCTTTAGGGGTTTCCATGGAGGTTTCATTATGAAGGCGTGACTGCGTCATTGATGATTGGCTCAATCTCTAGCCCCTCTCTACTCTCTGGAGGTTGGGAGATGGTGCTGAAAGGTATGAGCCTCTAATAAAGGCTTAGTATTTCTGCTGACCAGTTCCCATCTATTTTTAATGTTTATTTCTTTTTGAGAGAGCGAGCAAGCACGTGAATGGGGGGAGGGGCAGAGAGAGAGGTAGACAGGATCCGAAGCAGGCTCTGTCTTGACATCAGAGAGCCTGGTGTGGGACTCAAACTTGGGAACTGTGAGATCATGATCCGAGCTAATGTCAGACACTTAACTGACTGAGCCACCCAGGTGCCCGTGACCAGCCCCCACCTTGAAGCTTTCTAGGGGCCACCAGGAGTCATCTCATTGGAACACAAAGTGCTCCTATCATCCTTATCACTTAGGAAAATCCAAGGGTTTTAGAAGCTATGTGCTTTGAACCAGGAACAAAAATATTTTTCTTATTATATCATATACATGATTTGTGTCCCACTTTGAATCTTTTTTTTTAAACTTTTTTTAAAAATTTATTTCTAGGAGAGAGAGAGAGACAGCGTGAACAGGGGAGGGTTAGAGAGAGAGGGAGACACAGACTCTGAAACAGGCTCCAGGCTATGAGCTAGCTGTCAGCACAGAGCCCGACGCGGGGCTCGAACCCACGAACCGCGAGATCATGACCTAAGCGAAAGTTGGACGCTTAACCGACTAAGCCACCCAGGCGCCCCGTCCCACTTTGAATCTTAATAGCAACTAAACAATAACATATGCAGGAGTAATTACCCAAAAATGTGAAAAGTCTTTAGGGAGGAGGTTTTAAAACTTTATTGAAAAATATTAAAGAAGACTTAAAAAAATGAGAGGTATACGAGGTTCGTGTAAGATTCATGACTACTACAGAGATTCAATCTGCACCAAAATCCTCTTTAGAATTATATTCTAACAAAATTCCAAAGGAGTTTTTAGTTGAAACTGACAAACCAATATAAAAATTTACATGGAAAAACAAATAATCAAGATGCTCTTGAAGCAAAAGAAAAGGTGGGATTTACCTTATCTAGATCAGACTTACTATAAAAATTGGCATTGAGGGGCTCCTGGGTGGCTCAGTTGGTTAAACGTCTGACTTTGGCTCAGGTCATGATCTTGTGGTCCCTGAGTTTGAGCCCCACGTTGGGCTCTGTGCTGACAGCTCAGAGCCTGGAGCCTGCTTCAGATTCTGTGTCTCCTTCTCTCGCTGCCCCTCCCTCTCTGTCTCTCCCTCTCTCTCAAAAACAAAAATAAACATTAAAGAAAAGATTGGCAGTGAAGCAGAGTAGCATTAGTGTGGGGATATATAAAAGGCCTAATGAAACACAGTGTAGAGCTCTCAAATACACCCATTCATATGTGGAAGTGAACTACAACAGACCTGCACTGAATATCTGAATTCACAAATGAGGTTAGAAAAGTTGATAATCCATATTTGAAAAACAAAACTGAATTCTACTTTACAGAAGACACAAAAATCACTTCCAGACTAAAAATTTGAATATGAAAGACAAAGCCATAAAACTTTTAAAAGAGAAAGTTAGCTCTAAGTTCCCAGGTTAACAAGAGGTTAAGACATAAAAAAAGGGAAAATAGACTGATACATTTAACACTTAAAAGTAAGAATTTATTTTCATCAAAGTACACTATAATAGAAGTTTAAAAAACCCTATAACTCAGCTTTTCCATTCCTAGATATCTTAGAGAATTAAAAAAATATTTTTAATTAATTTATTTTAGAGAGAGAAAGAGAGCATGCATGTGCAGGGAGGGGCAGAGAGAGAGGGGGACAGAGGATCCAAAGCAGATTCTGTGCTGACAGTAGAGAGCCCCATGCAGGGCTCAAACCCATAAACCATGAGATCATGACCTGAAATAAAGTAGGACGCTTAACCAACTGAGCCACCTAGGTACCCCAAGGTATTCTTGAACATAGGAGACATGCAAGAATATTCCTAGTGCATTGTTTATAATAGTAAAAAAGTGGAAGAAGCTCAAATATTTATTGTTGGGTTTCCTTATATGGTGGAGTATTATCACCAGTGAAGATAGTGAACGATAGCTGTATACAGAAATGTGTGTAACCCTTACAAACATTGAGAAAAACAAGCACAAGAACACATATAGGATAATTTAATGTAAGTAAAGTTCAAAACATGGAAACAATGTTGTTTAGAGATACATATTTATGTTATATAAGCACACAGAAGTCCTGAAAGATCAATAATACTCTGTTTCTCCAACTAGGTGGTAGGTAGATGCATTTGTATGATTTTTAACTTCAAATATGCTTATATATAGTCACTCTTCATTACTGTGGATTTCATATTTGCAAACTCACCTGGTTGCTAAAATCTACTTGTAACCCTCAAAACCAGCGCTTTCACGGTATTCAGGGACATGCAGAGAGTAATGAAAATTCTGGGTCACTGCACTTATGTGTTCCCAGCTTAGGCTGAACAGGCAACATTCTGCTCTCATACTGTAAATCAATGTCCTTTTCATAGTATATTCAATGGTACACGTTTTGTATTTTTGTGCTTTTTGGTGAGGATTTTGCACATAAAATGGCCCTCAAGCATAGCGCTGAAGTGTTATCTAGCATTCCTAAGGTGTGCTGTGCCTTATGGGGAAAATACTTCATTTAGGTACTAGTCATACCATGACTTCAATGTTTATAAATCAACGTGTATGAAATATGTTAATATATATTAAATATGTGACTTTAAGTAGAAACATACAAGATGATGTATCAATTGGTTGATGAATATATTGTGACTGGAGGCTCCCAGGAACCCAGCTGAATTTCCCCTAGGACCAATGGTTCAGTATTCACAAATTCAGTGTTCTCAGTTATTTTATAGGACTACCTTGGATGATAATTGACTGCATATGAATATTGGTATTTGCAGGTATGAAATTTGTAATAGATTTTCTAAAGAGGTTAGAGGAGTAGGCAGAGGGAAGATGGTTTTGGTGGAGACTAGTGGAACTCATCTATTCAAGAGATAGGAAGTAGCTATGGTGATGGAGAGTGAAATGTTAGGAGTGGTTTCTGGAGTGGTCGTGGAGATAGCTGAAGACTTGCACTTCCTTTTATAAGTCCCTTTTTCATGTCAAGGTGGGAGGTAGTGGAGAGATTTGGAGACTTCTTGACATATGTGGAATGCAGGGTCTGAGGAGCCTGAAATCAAGTCCTCCATTAAGAGCAACCTCGGGCTGCAGGTAGCCCCAGTTCCAGGAAAAGCTTCAGCTGAAGCCACCGTCGGACCGCCCTCGGATCAGCCAATCAAAAGAAATGTGTAACATTCCTGTGATCTGAGTCAGGGCTGGGAACTGCAGATAGTTACTTTGTACAAACTAGCCAATCATTCACCGCTTGCCTAAACCCCACGTAGGCCCTTTGAGCTCACCTCATAATTGGTCATTTTCAAAGGATTCTCAAAAGTCATGATTGGGTCCTGCCAAAAGTAATGGACCCCTCACAGATACTGAATGGTCAAACTGATACCATGTGTGCTGTACAATTGTAACTGGAGCTTATGTGATGATGCTATATGTACAACGCGTGCACTGTAGCACCCCCGTCCCTTAGCCCATAAAAACCCTTCTCGCTATTGTTCAGGGCTTCAACCTGCTGCCGCTGCGCCGGTTGACGGGTGAGCCCCTGCTCAAGCTTGTAATAAAGACCCTTATGTACTTGCATCGGTGTTGGCTCCTTGGTGGTCTCTGGGGAATCACGATTCGGGCACAACAGGTCCTTTATGCCTTCCTCTCTAAAGTCCTTCAAGGACCTGCTGTCTGGGCTTGGGGGCTTGAATAGGTGCTAGTAATGCCAAGGAAGGAAAATGCAATCTCTGTATAGGGCAGAAGGGTTACAGGGGCCTGTAAGGAGAAGCTCAGAAGGCTGGGGGCTCAGTGGGACCACAGCAGAGTGAGGTCTGGAAAAAGTTGCCTCTGTTTGACTTGTAGGGCATATGCTGGCTGGAAGGTCAGGCAAATAGCTGTCCATATCAACTAAGAAGCTTGGGCTTCATGCTGGAGGAAATGGAAGATTTCCAGGCAGGAGGGTAACATAGTTTTTGTTTTAGAAAGTTCACTCCTACAGGATGCTTCAGAAGAGACAAAAAGTTTCTTCTATATGGAAGTATAGAGATTAGAAAGGCCTGGATTGAGGTTGTTCAGGGTAGAGAGGGTCTGTGTGTGGAGGCGAGGGGTGGAGACCATTTAGGAGATCAACTGATAGGACTGGGTGGCTCATTGCATATAGGGCTGTGGAAGAGGACAGTCTGCTGTGAAGATTGTGCTGCTCAATCACAGATGTCTGGGTTGAAAAAGGCTTTCTGGAAGAAGCAGTTCTGGGCCAAATCACACAGGCTGTTTGACAGCCAAACAAGGCAGGAAAAAGTCCCTTTGGATCTGGAACCCACTCACCACCAAAACCTCCAGTCCCCCAGGACTGAAATGCATCCTGAAGTCCCTGGTTCCTCTTGGTTGTGGAGGTCTGCTAACAACTGTGACCTCGGACAGAGAGGAGGCACCCAGGTCTCTAGTGCCATAAGGTGAGAGGACTGCCCTGGGCAGAAAGCGAAGAAGGGCAAAGTAGATTGTGGGATGTGCTTCCCTCTCTGCCCCCTCACCGCCGGTGTTCACATCCAGGCCACCAGCAACTGCGCAGACTTTTCCCTTCAGTTTCTGAAACTCCTCCACATCCGCAGGCTCACCTGCTCCCCAGCCTGGCCGGCCTTCGTCACAAGACAGTAGAGTCTTAGGGGCGCCTGGGTGGCTCAGGCGACGTCCCACTTGGGCTCAGGTCATGATCTCACGGTTCGTGGGTTGGAGCCCAGCGTAGGGCTGTGTGCTGACAGCTCAGAGCCTGCAGCCTGTTTCAGATTCTGTATCTCCTTCTCTCTCTGACCGTCCCCTGCTCGTTCGCTCTCTCTCACAGAAATAAATAAAACATTAACAAATTAATAAAATACACATCTGAGTAAGACTACATCGCTCCTCAGATGAATGTCTCTCCACGGCTTCCCACTGCGCTTAGAATAGAGGCGGATTGTGGGCTATCCTACGGGGTCTATGACCAGATCTCGCCCAATCTCCGAGCCCGCCTAGCAGCAGCGCCCCTGCCCGCGGCCTCCTTGGCTACTCGACCAATCCTGCTGGGCTGGCACGGGCTGCTGCCCGGAGGTTTCCGCTGACCGCTCGCCGTGCAGTTCCGGCCGCTACTGACGACGCTTTTACCTGATGGCTTTTCTCTCCTCACTGAGCTTTGAGAGCATTATCAAAACATTCTCTTAAGGCTTTGTCTTTTCCTCCATCGTGGCGCCTGCTATGTAGTAAGTGCGGCGTGAGCGTCGTCCAGACGCTCCCCTTCCGACCCCCCGTAGGCTCCCAACGCGTCCACCGCACTGCGACAGCGCCGTCGGCGCTCCGCGGAACTCTGCGTCGCACACGCGTCTCTGGAGGGAGAGATTTCGGCATCGGACTTCAGGACTTACGTAGTTTCCGGCGGTGACTGCGACGCATGGCGGTGAGCTGCTCGGAGAGATCACGGGGGTGCCAGGGACTTGGGCCGTTGGCAGCCCCCCGTGACCATTGTGCTGCCCCCCTTTCTCCAGGCCCTAGGGCATCCTGCTCGGGAGACATCAGTGGCCGCAGGCCCAGGTACCGCCCGCGCGCTTGGCAGCCCGCGGCTGCTTGGATCGCTTCCCGGCGCCCCTGGTCCTTCCGCCGTAAGGTCCCATCCAGTTCGTCTCTGCTTAGGGCACTCCGCGTGTAGTGACGCCGCCGCCCGGGCGCACCCCGAACGCGGTGAAGGCTGCGCAGCCTCAAAGAAGCAAAAGAAGAAGAAAACCCGGAAGGGAGCCTCTGTGGCGAATGGAGTCGGGAAGGTCTCAGAAAAGTCCGGCTCAGAGGAAGCGCCCCTAAGCGCGGAGGCTCAGGCAAGGGCGGGCCTCTCGACGGGTGGAATTCCGCGATGCATCCCGGGTTTGAGTGTACTGGTGGGTGTGTGTAGTCTTGGCTTTCCGGAGTTAAGGACAGGAGGGGGATGGGATGGGAGCGGAGGGTGGAAAGGGTGTCTGTGGGATGAGGCTGGAGCCCGCGCGGGGTCCTGGTGCTGCCTCAGCCATTCTCCCCGATTCATCACAGGCAGAGCAGCTGGCCCGGGAACTGGCGTGGTGCGTGGAGAAGCTGGAGCTGGGGCTCAAGATGCAGAGACCCAGTCCGAAACAGAGTGAGGGGCCTTTCTGTAGATTGGGGGGGGGGGGGGGGGGGGGGGGGGAGGTGAACTGTGATAACGCTGTGGCCTCCAGGTGGTGCCAGGGGAAGGAATTGTTGTCTTTGCTGTAGGACCATAGGCGATCAGAATAGAGGAGATTACTAGTCATTTGTTTTTATCCGCAGAAGAGCAGGCTCTTGGGGCAATCAGAATCCTGCGTAGCGAAAGAACGCCCCTGCCCCGGAAGAGGCAGCTGATGCGCTCCTTGTTTGGGGACTACAGGGCTCAGATGGAAGCCGAGCGGCAAGAGGCCCTTCGGGTTCTCAGGACTGGTGAGGAGCTGGAAACTGGTTGATTCCAGGGGTAGGGAGGAAGAGCCTAGGGAGTGACTGGAAGAAAGCTAGAATAACAGGGCTGGCAGGGGCGGGGAGAGGAGATGGACTCAAGGAGGCCTGGGAAAGGAGGGAGAGAGAAAGCTGGGGTCTCTTGGGCACATAGATGTCAGGCTTGGACCTGGGATGCAGAGCAGGGGAGTTAGCAAATGTCTCAATGATTCTAAGTGGAGTGTGATGATGATACCTACCCTAAAACTTTGAGAAGTGAATCAGTTGATTTGTCCCACGGCACAGGTAATGTTAGCTGTTATTACTCTATTCTGACACTCTCTGTCCTCTCCCCCACAGCAGCCCGCACAGCCCAGGTGCAGCCTGTAACTGAGGCCACCAGAAGGAAGAGCGGGAGGGTCTGCAGGACTCGCCAAGCAGGGGTAGCCAAGGCCACCCTGGACACTCCTGATGAAGAGTTCAGGTTCAATTTCTTTTAGCCTGTCCTCCATCCTGGAACATTTCCCCTCCCCAGGTAGTGTGGGGGTTTCTGTTGGGTGCAGATCAGAGTCTTTCTGAGGATGTACTGTTGGACAGATGTGGGGTTGTTTTGTCTACGGTCAGTGGATCTGGTGCCAGGACTGTCGGACACATGTGAGACCAGCATATTGGGCATCTGTCAGATAAGTACAAGACCCATTTGTAGGTTTTCAAATGAAATGTGCTTCCTGCCAGAAGAAGGAGCTCCATTTAGAAAAGATTCTACAATTGGGGTGCCTGGGTCACTCAGTTGGTTAAGTGCCCAACTTCGGCTCAGGTCATGATCTCACGGTTCCTGGGTTTGAGCCTCGCATCAGGCTCTGTGCTGACAGCTAGCTCAGAGCCTGGATCCTGTTTCAGATTCTGTGTCTCCCTCTCTCTCTGACCCTCCCCTGTTCACGCTGTCTCTCTCTCTCAGAAATAAATAAAACATTAAAAAATAAAAATTAAAAAAAAGAGAAAAGCTTCTAAAATAAACTGAAGTGAGTGTTCAGCATGTTGTTTGAAGAATGTTTTATTTAATCTGTAGTCTTAGATTAAGCAGTTGTTTATAATAAGGATTATGGAGGAAGCTATATAACTGTTCACTGGTGCTCATCTGTAAAAGAATGTCCTGTCAAATGGCATAATGCTTTATGCCATAATGTCACATTGTACTAATAAAACTATTTATTGTAAGAATGGAGTAGCGAATTTATGTGCTAATCATCTGTGTTAGATGAGTACAGGTGAGGCAGGTGCCTGGCACTGCTGGGTCCAGGCTCACCACAGTGTGTGGTCCTTTGTATTACTTTCATTTCTGAGCATATGTCAACAGGGAGCCAGTGTAGCTCCCAGAAGGGCAGATTTGTTCTTAGGAGCAGAGAGTTTCTTGCCCCAACAATCCTGGCCAAAGACCTGGGTTGAGCTTCAGTAGATAAACTCTCCAACTTTGGCTGCTCCAAATGATAGTCCCAGGACTTGTGCATCAAATCAGGTGGCTTAATCCTCCTCAGTGGTTGTAATGCCATCTTTGCTCATGTCTCCCAAGCTTGCTTCCCAAACTAGACAGATACCTGGAGCCCAACTGCCTACTCAGCATTTCTACTTTGACGTTTTGTGGGCATTTCAAACTTGACATATTCAAAACATTTGATTGGCCCCTACATCTCCCTTTGTCTTTTGCTTTTGAGTGAATGGCCCTACTGCCCACCTAGCTGATTAGGCCAAAAACCTGTGTCATCCTTTCTTGCTTTCCTTCTCCCGTATATGTGTTTTGTACTTCAACTGGTATATGAGCTGTGTCTTCAAACTAAATCTCTAACCTTTTGTGCTTTCTCTCTACTGCTAGGCATTTTAGTCCTGGCCCCAGATCTTCCCCTGACTGCTGTGTGAGCCTCCAGGTGTTAGTGTCCCATACATCACTCTTGCCTCCTATGTGTTCACTATAGCCAGGGATCCTCCGTATGTATTGGGTCCTATTTCTCTGGCCTAGTGACTTTATTATACCCAGGAAACAGTGTGAAGGCTGGTGGATGAGGCCCCACTTAGGGTCTGCACACATTTAGACTCCTGACCGCTTCTCTGATGTGGCCCCCTTTTCTTGTTCCCACCTTGCTGGCTTCTTATCTGCTCCTGAGATAATCAACTCAATCCTGCCTCAAGGGCTTCATTCCTGATAGGATGTTCACAAAAAGTCCACTTGTAGCAGGTCTTGGACTCTGGGGAAATACAGTGCAAGGGGACTGGAAGCATCTGAAGACCAGAGATAGAGCACTGTGAGGCCTTTGGCTGGACCATCAATCCTGCTTCCTCTTAGGTCATTTTTGTACTCAGGATGCTCCTCCTTCAGCTTATACCCAGCTATGTTCTTGGTGGTGTTTCATCCATGGCTTGCATGTTGGGCAACCACAGCTAAGTCACAATCCTTACCCTGGCCTTAGTTCATCCATCTATAAATGGGGTGGTTGTAGGTGGTGCTGGGTGAGATGAACTGGAGGCCCTGACCCACCTGCACTGCTCTTAGGCTTCAGTGTTCTGGTCTATGCAGCAGGCCCAGGCATGTGGGGTGGGCATCTCAATACCAGTTCCAAGGCTCTGCAGTTCTTGTTTGGTTCTTTCCGGTGGCCTTTGCAGCTACACTCACATGTCTGACACAAACACCACTGGATGATGATCATTTGTGTTACAAACCTACCAGCACATGCTCAGTTCGCAATGGCCTCTTCCAAAGACTATATTCTTTTCATCAAAGTGGGGCCCTCCTCCTTATTTGAATCCCATTGTCTCCTGAAAAATGGAGGTGTATCACCTACCTTCTGGGTGCCTGGACAGGGTACGCCCCCACTCCCTGAAGTTTTGGAGGTCTCTAATGCCCACATGCAACTACACATACCTCAGGTATCCTGGGACTCCCAGTAAGCCCCCAGCTTCCTGGGGACACCCTATGAAGTGTCCCTTGAAGAAACCCTAATTTGTCCACTTGCTGTGTCCCTGTGGGACTCATGAAAAGCTGGACCCACTGGCTTGAAGCCCCCTCCAGTCCTGCCCTTCCAGTCCTGGGCTCAGCTGTCCCCTCACTTTTGGTCATGTGGACCCCCCACATGGGGAGCTTCAGAAACAGGTGACACTCAGATCCTCTCCCTGTTGTTTTCCTTGGAAAGGAATGCTAGTTCCTTATAATTCTCAATAATGAATTCCAGTGGAGGAGAAGACAAAAAGCTGTAAACTAACCTTTAGAAATGTTGGGGGAAAAGTAGAAAGACCTGTTAAAGACTGGAGTGTGGGAAAGACTTGTAATTGAGGAAAATAGAGAAAGTGAAAACCTGTTGATAGACAAATGGTTCAAGAAATGGGAAATAAGATGAGATCACTGCACACCTGGTAAGGGAAGATTTGAAGAATTTAGTAATAGATTCCATATCTAGGCTCAGAGTATATATCTGTGTCAATGAAGCTGGGAGACCTTCCTAGCCAGGTTACAGAGTCCCTGAGATCAGGGAGCAGATGGGAATGCCAGAATTAGATGCCTCATGACACCAATCAACACCTCACTTTCATCCCACGTGTGGTGAACCTGAAAGCCAAGACCACAGTGATAGTTTTGGCCAAAACAATGGAAAGGTCTATAGTAAACACATCTTAAATGTGGATTGCCAGAGGATGCTAGTGGCCATGTTGGGGACCAATGAAGAGTAAGGAGCAGAGGAAGAACAGGGTGAAGGAGATGAGGAGGATGTAGCTGAGAGTTTGTTGTTGAATTTCACTATGGAGGTTTCTCAGTGCTTCACATAGACTCCAAGTATCATAGCTGTGAGAGCAGAGGAGAGGGTGTGCTGACCAGAGCTTTCCTCAAAAACCGGAAAGGTTTTTAGTTTTGAGAGAGAGAGAGAGACAGAGCATGAGCAGAGGAGGGGCAGAGGAAGACAGAGATTCTGAAGCAGGCTCCAGGCTCTGAGCTGTCAGCACAGAGCCCAACTCGAACCCACAAACTGAGATCATTATCTCAGCCAAGAGCAAGAGTTGGAGGCTTAACCAACTGTGCCCTCTTAAAAAAATTTTTTTTAAATTTTTTTTAATGTTTTTTATTTATTTCTAGGAGAGAGAGAGAGAGACAGCATGAGCATGGGAGGGTCAGAGAGAGAGGGAGTCACAGACTGAAACAGGCTCCAGGCTCTGAGCTGGCTGTCAGCACAAAGCCCGACGCGGGGCTTGAACCCACGATCCGCGAGATCATGACCTAAGCGAAAGTTGGACGCTTAACCGACTAAGCCACCCAGGCGCCCCTTAAAAAAATTTTTAATATTTATTTATCTTTGAGAGAGCATGAGTTGGGGACAAGCAGAGAGAGAGGGAGACAGAGAATTGGAAGCAGACTTCAAGCACAGACCCCGATGTGGGGCTCGAACTCAACCAGGTGAGCCATCCAGTGGCTCAATGCTATTGACACTTTTGTCCCAGTGCTATTGACATTTTAGAGTGGATCATCCTGTGATGGGGGTGCTGGTGTGGGGGGCTGTCCTGTGCATCATAGAAGGTTCAGCAGCATCCCTGGACTCTACCCACTAGATGCCAGTAGCACTTCCCAGCTGCCACAACCAAACACTGTTGAGAAGCAGATATTGCAAAATGGACTGAGAACTGCCAATTCTCCCCTATGTTTAAATCCTAGTTCTTTCTCATATGAGGTTTATGACCTCAAATGAGTCACCTAACCTTTCTAAGCCTCAATTTCCCCATCTATAAGATGTAGATATGAATGGTGCTTTCCTGGGCCACCTGGATGGCTCAGTCAGTTAGGCCTCTCTGACTCTTGACTTTGGCTCAGATCATGATCTCATGGTTCATGGGTTCAAGCCTTGTGTGACAGCGCAGAGCCTGCTTGGAATTCTTTCTCTCTATGGCCCTCCTCCATGATCTCTCTAAGTAAACAAACAAATACATAATAACTTAAAAACAAAAGAATAGGGTTTCCCCCAGGAATATTAGAAACACTGCATATCTTTTGTAGAGTGCTTAGCACAGTGAAATGGAACTTTGGCAGTGCTTAGTAAAGAGTCACTCTTATGACAGGAATCCTGAAGGAGCCTAGCAGGTGTCAGGCACTGACCTGAGCACTGGGGAGACAGAAGGCTGAGACAAATCCTTGCTCTCCAGGGTCTCAGATCTCCAGGGCAGGATAGAAAATAGAGGCAGGGCAAGCTTCCTGGGCATGCGGACTGTGCAGCCTCACAGTGTCCCATGCTCAGGAGGGCCCCTGCTTCGTCTGCTGCTCTGCTGTTGCCTTGAAACTCTTGAATGATTTCTGAACATGGGGCCTCACCAGTTCTGCAGCCAGTCCTTGATGTAGGGGATGCAACTCTGGCAGAATGAGAGGTCAAGTGTATGGGAACTTAGAGAGGATTTTTCAATCTGCCTGCACAGACAAAGGCTTCTCAAAGGTGTTGACATCTCAGCAGTCCTAGGTTACATGTAGGTAAGCATTCTCAGCAACCTAGCAAGAAGAATTGTTTTTCTATGTGGGCTTTAAGCCTAACATGGAGTTCAACACTGGTTTTGAACTGGCAACCCTGAGATCAAGACCTGAGCTGAGAAGCTAAGATCAAGTTTAACCAATGGAGCCACCCAGGCACCTCCATAGCAAGAAGAATTTTGGTAGATTCTTTTTAAAAATAGATCTCAGGGCACCTGGGCGACTCAGCCATTTAAGTTTCCAACTCCTGGCCTCAGCTCAGGTTATGATCTCACAGTTCCTGAGATCGAGCCCCAGGTGGGGGTCTGCAATGACAGTGTGGAGCCTGCTTGGGATTCTCTCTCTCCCTAT